TATTAATTATATATATATATATATATATATATATATATATATATATATATACTATATACATATATATATAATTAATTTCTTCTGTATGATTTTTGTGTCCGTGAGTGTTCCTCTGAATACGTTCTACAGTTGGCACATATCTATTTGTTATATCTTTTTTATCTTATTTATATACGGTTTGACATATTCATTTTTTAATACCAGGCCAAACAAAAATGGCGCTGATCAATTTGTGCCACGTCTCGCTATGCTTGTTAGATGGAGATGCGCATTCCAGTGTATATAGAGTTCAGTGAGTGCCATCATATGAAGCGCGGAAACGCGGAAACGCGAAACGCGGAAAATAATAACTAGGTTCCGCGTTTCCGCGAATTGAGTTTGTTTCTTCCCGCACGTTTGAGCGAAAAANCAGAATCCGGTATTTCCGTGTGTATCAAGTACATAAGTATACAATTGTAATATTTCAAAATAATCATCAACATGATGTTTGGATCCATGATGCACTTTTACAATAATCAAAGTAAGTAATTTAAAATAATCAGATAAAGTAATAATGTAAGTTTTCTTTTTTGGCTCCAAAATTTAATAGAGCTTTCTTTTTAAATCAGCTCCAAAATTTGAAAATACACTGTATTCGCGTTAACAAGGCTTCTTTTTTCGTTTGATGGCTCTGAAAGAATCTCTACCACATGGCCAGGAATCGCGTTGACAATATTTTGACGCTCTTGTTCCGCGGGTTTGTTTCTTCTTATATTACATGAAGCACAATTACGCGGAAAACCGGAACGATATAGTGACAAATAGATATTTGTATTTATTTAAAAAAATTGATTTCTCTTAATTTACTGCATTTTTTATCAATATGCTTATTTTTTCAGTTTATCTCTTGAATACAAACATTTTGATCAGTAAATATTGTTAAAAATTGATATTTTATAATTTTCTGTTACGCTTTTCCGCACAATATATGCTCTATGTAATATAAGGTAATCAAAACAGACGGAACAAAACGCGCGGAAACACAAAAATCTAGTAAAGTTTAGTTACTTTTGACTTCCGCGTTTCCGCATTTCCGCGCTTCATGTACTGGCACCTTAAGACGTAGCCATAAAGAAATTGACCAATCAGAATGTATCCTATATGCCCACCACTTTTAAGGGTCGTCTACAATGGAGAGTTTTAGACTGTAACAGTAAGAAATTGACAAATCACAATCGATTATTCTTCTGTACTTTGTCTGTGATTGGTCAATTTCTTACTATTACGGCCTACAACTCTCCATTGTAGACGGCTCTTTAGATGTAAATGTCTGAGTGGTCAATTTCCTTACGGCTACGTCTTAGGGCCTCCGCACAAACTCTTCCATAACGCGTTACGTTACGTTAAGTACTGGCCATAAACTTAGACCTGTACGTAAACTTAAACGTTGTTCAACGCACAAACTAAATCGTAACGTAACATGGTAACTTACGTGCAAGCATAATAGGGTACATCGTGTCATCTTATCCGGCTAAAATTTAT